GCAGAGCGAAAGGTCAACCCCGAGACAACTTATCATTGTATTTACATTCCCCATCCCCATCTAGAAGGGGACCATCACTGGTGACATTTAGGTATCAGAGTCCATGGGGAAACTGGGTGCTGGTGAGCCACAAATTTCCTTCCGTGGAATCTGACTGGGGTGAATTTGCAAATGCCTTTGGTCACAGTGACAAATTGAAAGAAGGCAGAATGCCTAAAAGCAGGAACAATTGCTCTGAGAAGTTGTTTTCACTTAGATACAGGTGCCAAGGATGTATTATTAAGGCCGTGTATACAGAAATAGGCATTGCTTACATACAAACTAATCAAACGTAAAGTAGACTTGCCTCTTTTTATTAGAAAAAACCTCTTAAAAAAAAAAGTAAAACTCTGAACTTCTATGAGCTCTTGATGGTAAGACTGCATTGTTACATCTTCTCTCTCTAGTTCCATTTTTACTCCCAGCCCCCTGTAGCACCTGCCATAGTATGTGGGCCATAGCAAATGCATGGATTAATGAAGAAAAGGATGGATGAAGACACATCTGATATAATGTTATAGTGGTGTTCATGCAAGAAATACATCATGTTTATTTGAATTATATGCTAAGGGTTTGAGAGTTGCAGCCAAAAGCTCAGAGCTCTTAATTTTTAACCTATTGTAAGTTCTAGGTCTTTGGTTTGACATGAAGCTTAGATCCTTAATGCTTTCTCAGGATATTTGCAAAATGGGGAGATGAAAATAAATATCCTTCTTATTTTAAATGAGAATAAAATACAACAGGTAAAGGTTATTGAAAATGTCATAATACTATGTAAATTTGAGGTGTTTTTTTTAAAGCGTCATAGCCACTGCTTTCTATCACAATTCCAAACTCAACCACAATTCATTAAGTTGACACCCATATTTAGACCTATTATCTTTCTTAAATTTATAAGACATCATCATATAGACAGACAAACCGAGCCTAGCCCATGTGGCTTAGTGGTTGAGCATAGACCCAGGAACCAAGAGGTTATGGGTTTGATTCCAGGTCAGAGCACATGGCCAGATTGCAGGTTTGATTCCCAGTAGGGGGGCATGTAGGAGGCAGCCAATCAATGATATTTCTATATCATCGATATTTCTATCTCTCTGTCCCTCTTCCTTCTTCTCTCTCTTAAAAAAAAATCAGTAAGAAATAGTAACCAAAATTTGATTCATAGATTTCATCGTTTAGTCTTTGGGCTAACCATGAACCAGTCAGCGATAACAAACATGGCCTGTTTTCATTCTAATGGTACGAAAAAAATACTCTTGTGCCACCTTTGTTTAGGAAATTACTTTGCTCTGTGCAAATTTAAAAAGACATGATCTTCATCTGTCTTTTTAGGGGTTTAAATGTGATTTAATATATGTCTACCTTCAGCCAAAGATGTGGTCCAGTCCCAGCATTGTTGCGCTTGGAGAGCACAGGGTGTGTCTCTGCTCTGGTGGAATGAGGGCAGGACTGTGCCTCCGTCCCAAAATATCAGCGGAAATAAATGAGAGCAGGATGATGCCTCATAGTTCATAAATCCATAACCCTAACAGTTACTGATGTAACAAACAGTTTGCGATGAATATCCTGACCCCACGTAAACGTTTCGAATTAAGCAGTGGTTAGGTCTATTTTGGAAGTGCATTTTTGAAAGCCCTGGTATTTTGGAGCTCTCAGGCTTAACCATTAGAAGAACACAGCACCGGCCGGCCTTAAGATGTGGTTGGAAAGGTCAAGCAGCCATCCCTGAGAAATGCAGAATGCAGCTCTCCTGTGTTCTTTCTGTCTCTTTCTCCTCGGACAGACGAGGTAGGGGACATTCCAGTGTGCCTGGAAACATGTTTGAGGAATGCCGGAGGAAGACTGCAGACTTCCTAGATCAATGACCGGGACAGCCTGAAGTCAGGGCCCCAGACACAAGGGCACATCCTTTTGAACCGTCCCTTCCCTGCACGTGACATGAAGGAGTTAACTCGGTGGATGTGATGCACTTGAAGAAGGAAAGGTTCTCTTTAATTAAGACGACCAGCAATGCAGATGCCGGGAGCTCTGTGTTCCAGACCCGGCACGGCCGGTACAGTAAAGCGGAATGAAATGTCTAGCAGCCTCGGCAGCAGGCTGGAGCCGTGTTCAGCGCAAGCTAATTTAATTAGTGTTGATCAGGACTCCAGATGATGGTGATTTGATAAGGAATAATTTAGTACTTAACAGCCTTTTACATGCACCAACTCCATGTGGGAAGGTAAAGCAAATTGCACAAAATGAATGTGCTGCTTTGCCTTGTGCCCGTGCCAGTGAGCTGGAAAACTGCCTGTGAGCAGACGCTCCTTCTCTCGGGCCCGGGCTGAAACACCCAACACGGCCTCAGCCCAGCCCAATCTCTCCTGGGAATCTCCATCCTCCCCTCATTGGAGAAGAAATAAGTCATATTTTCTTGTGATATAGGATCTCCAGGCAGCAGGAAAAGTAACGTGAGGACAGGGAAGTAGCGTGTGTTCCTATGTAAAGTGTTCCAGTTCTTTAGGGTGGCTTCTCTTTGTTCGCCTCCCATGCAGCAATTAAAAAAAAAAAAAAAAAAAAGATCCTAGCCAACTCACATTCATTGGATTACTTCTTTGGCTTCTGATTAGAAAACATAGAATCACAGTTCCAAGAGCCCATGATGATGAAGAGGCCCACACACGTTGACTGTGTTAACCAGAGGGTAGGGAAACCCTCACGTTTCGGAAGTAGAGGACCTGGGAGAATTCTTAAGGGTTGGCATCTCATGAAAAGGAAGACGTTGTTTTTGTTTGTGTTTAAGTCTCTTCAAGCACTGGCCCCACTTCAATGCAGCTCACACTGGATCCAGGTGGTGCCAAGTAGCACAGCGGATTTGAAATGAATCCAGTTATGACAATCACCTAGAAATTTTGTCACATACAGAAGCCTGATATACAATATATCCCAGCCTCAGTGAATCAGAACTTCTGGAAATGGTATATTCGTTTGCTAGGGCTGCCATAACAAACTGCCATAAATCGGGTGGCTTACACAACACAAATGTCTTGTTTCAGAGTTCCAGAGGCCAGAAGTCTGAGGTGAAGGTGTGGGCAGGGCTCTGGGTGCTGTGAGTGTCTGTGCTGTACCTTTCTCCCATCTTGTTTACCAGCCGTCTTTTGGCATTGGGTCTGATCTCTGCCTGCATCTTCACATGGTGTTCTCCTGTGAGTGTCTATACACTCTAATCCCCCCTTTTTGTGAGAACATGAATCATATTGGATTAGATCCCACCCTGATGACCTCACCTTCATTTATCTACTGAAGAAGGGCAGAGGTGAAGACTGAACTAGGGTTAGGACTTCAGTATTTGAATTTTATAATATGGAGTCTGGAAATCTTTGTTTTGCGTTGTTTTCTTTTTTCTTTTTTCTTTTTTCTTTTTTTTAAGTTATCTGGGTAATTAGATTGTTGGCCAGTTTTGGGATTATGAGTTTATGTATCAACTTGCCTCTGAAAACACTTAAGTGGGGTGGGATCCTTATATCCTTTCTTCTAAAGTCAATCCAGGAGATGTCTGAAAGCTTCTGAAAGCCCTAGAGCTCAAGACAGACATGGGATGATCACCACCAGGATGCTTCTAGTTTGATACTGTTGGGCATTTTGATAGGAGGCTCCTGGCAGGCTAGCAGCCACTTCTGATGGTGCCCAAACTCGTCATTCCTCCCCTTCCTCATCAGGGATTATGTCTCCTGTGCAGTTAAAGCACATTCTCAAATGTCTGCTGAAACAGGAAGCCAGATCATTGAAATAGCTTCATTTGTATAGCATTGCTTGGTGCCTCTCACATTTTTAAGCTTTTTGTTGAGCTCTGCATTTATTGTAATTTTGCAGATGTATATTATCAAATAAGCACCGTGCAGAGCAAGATCTGAAATATTTCCAGCACTGTAACAGGTTACCAGTGCCCTTTCCATTCTCATGGCTATTTTTTCTTTATTTTTTTATTTTTCTTTCTTTCTTTCTTTCTTTCTTTCTTTCTTTCTTTCTTTCTTTCTTTCTTTCTTTCTTTTATTTATTTATACCAATTTTCCATGTATACTAAAACTTTAGTTGTCTGATAGGATCTCTAATAGATAAATTTAATATTTCATATAAAAAATAAAAAATATGTAGTGTTAAGAGTTGCTTTTAAAGCTATGATTTCCTTCAAATACGCACGTCTTCTAGCCTTCAAATTTTATGTGATCTTTGTATTTGTATAAAACGTTAATGAATATAAGCATCACCATATATTGTCATAGGAAGAAGGAGAAAACATGTGATAGAGAATAATTGTTTTATGGTTGATTACAAATGACAACTGTCACATATTTTTTATATTTCACCCTCACAATTCTGATAAGTAGATAGGCAGATACTTTATCTCTGTTTTACAGATGAGCATTGCCTTCAAAGATGTGGAGATTTTTGTCCACATTATCATGGGTTTCCAGTGTACTTGCGCCTAAATTTCCATTCTCATTTTGCCATTCTATTAAGCCATTTACTATTGAGATAGTTTCCTCTCAGTAATGCTTAAAATTATGTTTCAGTCTTCAGTTAATTCTTTTGCATTTTTTTTTAATGCTCCAGTCTTCAGTTAATTCCTTTCTATTTTTTTTCTGTTTTAATCATTGGAAACCTTCCTGAAATGTTTTCAAAACATACTTTCTGAAAGCAGAGCTTTTAAAACTAATATCAGCTAAGCAAATTACAAGTGATTCCCTTAAAGTAAGGAGAGTTCAAGCATGGATTTTGTTAGACAATAAACAGAAAAGCAGGTTACAGAGATTCTCCAGAATCTTCTTTGGTGAAATTAATGAAATGTGATTTTTCTTTTCTGTGGCAGTTAATATGTAATGTTTGTGATATTTTAACCAAGAGAAGTAGATCAGGTTAATACACTTAATTCTTAACTGCATTTCATTTTTGTGGGTATTTTTCTTTGTTTTGTTTTCTAGTGGCTTTTCATGGCCTACCACTGAAAATCAAGAAAGAACCCCACAGTCCATGTTCAGAACTCGGCTCTGCCTGCAGTCAAGAACACCCCTTTAAATTCAGCTATGGAGAAAAGTGCCTGTACAATGTCAGGTAAAGCCATCAGGTGTATATAGGATGGTGGTTCTTATCAAGATAAAAAAGTCCATAATCGAATATCAAATCTTAAGTCAACTTTTATGAGTCATATCTTCAGCATATAATTAGGTAATGTGCTTAGGAGAACTCCAAAAAGCCATTTACCATCCAGTCACACACTTTCAGAATAACTTTAAAGCAATAATTTTCACGCACATTATTGGTTGCTTTTCCTATCCAGTGATATATCCTGGGTGGGAAAAGAGGGTCTTACTTGGCCTAAGTAGATATTGAAAGTTCTTATGAGAATGAATGCATTATGCACTTTAGATAGAGTTTGTAGGAAAAAAAAAAAAAAGAAACATTTGGCATGTCTCAGCAGTACATTAGTTATCTGACAGGCTTTGCAGATGATCTATAAGATGTGTTTATGGACAATTGTAATAAACTTAGGACTTTATAAGGCTTAGCAGAGGCTATTATCTATTAAAAAGCCAGTTTTTTCTTCTGATGATAATAAAGGGTGGAGCAATAAAAGTACATTGTTCATTTGTTAGAAAATTTGATAACATACATGTTCATTAAAAACCCTTCACAGTAAATTGCATTCTGCTACTTTTCATATCGGCCTCTAATTGCATAAGGAAGAAGTTGGCTCTGTGTATTGAGTATTATCACTCTCAATTATAGTGGAAACTTGGTTCTTAAAAGGAGTTAGGCTGGAAACTTTAAAAATGATTATAAATACTTGCCGTTTTATAAGTTAGGTGGATTCAAGTTCATAATACATTATGATCTAAATGGATCTTACATTTTTCTTATGTGTTTACTACTTGTACTCTATACCATGACATATAAGATTCAAGAAACTTAGATTTGTGTAATCTCTCAGCAGCTGACCAATGCTTACATATTCTATTACTGTTCACTCTTGCACACTCAAACTTGTCTTTGATATCTGCTTTTCTTAGGAGGGTTACCAGAGGCTGAAATTATGAGCCAGTTCAATTAAAACTACAAAGCTGTTATAAAAAAGATGTCCTGTGGATACTAACTATTAAAGCATACTCAGTTTAGATAAAACAATATTGATCTGAGTTTCATTTTATAGTGTTTCTAGTGTTTCTATTTTCTCAAGAGTGTTATGTATTCACAAAATAATTAACATATTGGAGAATGTTTAATTAATGAGCCAAAGAGATACAGAATTGTTATTGAGTTTCAGCATTGATTAGAAGTGTGTATGAAATAACCACTGCTTTATATGCTATATCTAATATCCATAAATCAACAGTAGAGGAATTGCCTGAATTTTTTGAGGTTCTTCCTGGGACCAGTAATTCCCACAGGGATCTATGGAATAAATGCTGGTACTTCCTTCTACATACAAACTGCAAATATAACATTTCATGGAGGGGGGGGGCGTGTAATATCCTAGAACAAACGATATTTCATCTTTTCTTTTTACCTGGGAAAGAGTTAGGTGAACCATTTTATAGAAGTAGATTCTCATGTAGAAATATTGGTAAAGAAAACAAGTAGAACCGAACATAATGAGTATCATTAGTTGTACTTAAAAGCAAGAACAGACTTAAACACCATATACTACTTCACTCCTATAAAGTATTCTTACATTCAGATCTCATTCTATTGTATAGATGGAGCAACAGAACAAATTATTACATTAGTCAAAGCAAAAAGAAATGTTTTTGTTTTAAAATAAAAATATGTATTGATGAATTCTTTATACCTTACAAGGGAATACAATATTTTAACCTGGTAATATCACCTTAATTTGGAAATATAAGTAAAATTTGTTTTTAGTAAAATATTTTTTAGATAACAAAAATTAATTAGATCACATCCTTGAAAGGCATACATAGGAAAATCAACTGAAATTTATAAACAAGCTCACTCATTTTATTCCTTTGCAAATGTTTAGAAGTTAGATTATAACAATAGGATGTTATCCTTAAGAACATCATTTTGTTCTTATACTCCAAGAAAGTTTAAATATATCAGAGAGGTTTTAATTTGCTTCATTAATCTTTATTATCCCATATGAGGAAGTTAATAGCAAGCATCATTTATTTTATATAAAAAATGAAAATAAGGCCAAAGCATTGCTTTCTTAAAATTTTACCACAAATAAAGTCAAGCCAGGTATGATCTCCATCTTATTAAACTGATGTTCTTGTTCTGAAATCTAATGTAATATAGAATAATTATAATATCAGGGTAATTTAATGAAGTAGAAAAGATCTATGAAACTTGCTCCAGGAGACAGATCAAGAAGAGATGGAAATTATGCCAGTGCTTTCATAGACAGTGCTTTTCCTCCTACTAAATTGTTTATCTACATGTTAAAAACATACACTTTATATGTATATGCTGTTACTAATTTATTACTTATTCTGTTTTCTGTTAAAGTGCGTGCCAGTTTTGAAGATTACATGTTCTAGAATTACAAACACCAAAAGACATGAAATTCTAATTTCTTTATGACTTAAGCCTAAAATGTTTTGTTGTTTCCTTAGGTTAATATATATTTTTTTAATTCTCCAAAGAAACAAATACTCTCTTTTTTTCCTTATGCCGTGGCTAGTGCCTATGATCAGAAGCCACAAGTGGGAATGAGGCCCTCCAACCCCCCAACACCATCCAGCACTCCAGTGTCCCCACTACATCATGCATCTCCAAACTCAGCTCACACTCCGAAACCTGACCACGCCTTCCCAGCTCACCTCCCTCCGTCACAGTCCATGCAAGACAGCAGATACCCCATGGATCACAGGTATATTGAAAATACTGTTTTTGTCGAAAATTGTTTTTAGTATTCGTGGAAGAGCTTCTGTTGCCAGTTCCTAAGACCTACAGTAGATTGAGGGTGAGCATATTAATTTTGCGCATCTTGGCAAAAATATTTTTAGGAAGAGTTTGCCCTCTCTATAATTATAAATAATCGGTGAAGAAGGTCACATATAAAGAGTTCTTTTATAAACATTTAACTTTGTTGCTAAAATGGAGAATTAATCTATGTACTGACATTTGAAAACCTCCCCTTTGCTTTGCCTGAATTAAATTGCTTCACTCACACTTTAAATCAGATCATGGCATTTTTTTTTTATGAGCATATGTGTGTACTTGTTCTATAAAGTTAGGAGACTAATTTTAGTAGGTGGCTTATGGAATTAGGTTCTTTACCTTAGTTTGAATAGCATAGCTGTACACAGTTTTGCAGAGCAGAACGTATTTGATTAAAATCATTTTCCATACTTTCCATGTTATGAATATTTAATGCTATTAGACATACGACCCTGGACTCTGAGAATATAAAGTTAAAGAGATAGAGGTCAAATTAGTATTACTTAGAAAGGAGCAAAGCAAGGACTAGAGCATGGAACTAGGAAGAATGCCATGGTAGATTATTCCTGATTCCTAGAGATGAGTAAATTTACATTTGAATAACATGTTAGGAGACTTTTAGAGGTCTTAATATAGCTTAAAACACCTGTTGATTATGTACCTCATTTTTCTTTCCCCTTCTACCTTGTACTTGTATAGAACCAGTGGTGTGCTGGTAAATATTTAACAATAGGCTCTATGAGAGGAAACCCAAAAGACCTGATCTGTAGGCGTTTGATATAAATATTCCCCTATGGCTGACTGCAAGCTACCAAGGTGACAACCTTGAATGTAGAATTGGAAAGAGAGGTGCAGTAGCACTCCACTTTATACTGTTTCTACCATGTAGATGCTATAGTCATAATCTCGAATATAAAATTAATAGTAACTCTAATAATAAGGTAGTGATAGGGTTTGAATATTAATAGCCTCTGTTTGTAATATAATTTTTTAAAATATATATAAATTTACATAATTTACTTCATCATGGCTGTCTTTAACAATTGACTTACAGAATTTCTGAAAATCTAATAATAAGCCAGGGCAAACTGGCTCTGACACTATTAGGAAAAGAACTCAGCCAAAGTCATCCACTGTATCAGCAGATGTGCACCTGGAAAAGAAGGGAATACTCAGCTCTGCTTTTTCTGGGTTTTTTACACCAACTCAGACTCACATTCAGTCCAACTCTGTTGGTGTGAAAAGCTAAGATGAAAGCATTCTTTCCAATGTGAAACTAAGCTGCATCACGTCTACCTTTGCTTCCACCAAGTCCTCTCTTGCTTTAGTTACTAAATGCTCCCAGGGATCTTTGCCTTCACACCCAATAGACTTGAGACCTCGTCAGTGCACAATGGTATGCGCATCTGTGTAAACAGTTTGGTAAATGCTGATGAAAGAAATCCCAGGGCAGGGTGGGCCACTAAACAGAGGCACATTGTGCAGGGCTAAGAGAGGAAAAGAGTGAACAAAAGAAGAAGCCAGTGTATTTTGTCCACTTCTAATGACTTCCCAGAGTTCTTGCTACCTGAGGCTCTCACTCTTCAAAGGAGTGCCAGGGTGCTGGGTTGTAGAGTTGGCTCTTGGTGCGGAAAAGCTATTTCTATGGGAAGGTGGCTGGTGAACAAGCAGTGTGCCTGTTTTCAGGTGACCTAACTTGAAATGCTTTAGTCAGATCCATTTGAGTTTCTCTACTTGAAGTCAAATAGCTGAGACTGAGAACAGCCGGTCCGGAACTACCAGAGGGAAGCTCAGGGTCTTTTCCCACTGCCCCCCATGGTGTGCTGAGGACAGTACCAGCTGGCCCATCCCAGGAAAATCTCTGAAGCCGTATGTTTCTGAGGAGGATTTCTTGGAGGGCTCGAGCCAACAAATGACAGTCCCTCAGTTATAAATGGCAACTTTTCTCTGGGAACAGATCCTTTCCCCAAATAGCCCCCTCCAGCCTGGGCACCTCGCCTCATCGGGGCTGCCCCCTGCCTTCTTTCCACGGCTCATTGGGCTCTTCAGGTCAGCCCTTTGGCTCTTTCTTCTGAACCCGCTGCGAAGGAGCCTGGTCTCTCCTCTCACTTCTTCTCACCCGTTAGAGACTGTGCTCCTTTACCCAAGAGGTCATTGCCAGGCTGCCCGTACCTGTTAACCCTCTTCCAGAAGCTTCTTGAGTCACCTTCTCTTTAGGGGGTAGGTCAGTGGCTCCTAAGAGTGACATGTCAACGTAAGAAGCATTCGAACCTATGAAGCATTTTTTTTTTGGTAGTGGAGGGGGAGTGTGAGCCAAACTGTCCACAATTGCCAAGAAGTGAAATATCTGAGATAATGTTTGGAGAGTGGCAGTTTTACACCTTATTTTATACATTGCAGTCAAAGGAGATGATGCAAGTGGTTTTCGTGAAATCCACGGGTGATAGACTAGGGAGGTGGGAGAAAGCAAAGCAGGGGTGGAGGTGGAGGAGACCTCCGGGATTGGATGAAAAGACAAATGATAGACAGTACAGCTTTTGCACAGATGGCTACAGGATAGCTAAGTCAGCAATGAACATGTTAAAACAAGGATGATTTATGGTCTCTGCCCTGTGAGGTCTGGAAAAGGGGAGTTACCCTGACATTCCCAAGGCATGTTATCATAGATGCAAAAGACAATAGACAGGCTTAGTTAAGGTAAAGGTGGACCTTTGTCAGGGAAGATACCGACTGATGACATGACTACCCACCATAACTGCTTTTAGTTAAAAAAAAAAGTTTTAATTTCAAGCCACCCTTTGTGGTTACTTTAGGTCTCTGGGTTTGCAAGTCCTCCATGCAGACCTTCCTGGGATAGTCAGTTAGTACGTAGACCTTTTACAAGCGCAGGCGCCACTAACTGGTAACTCCCTATGAAGCAGCTGTGTGATAGGTGATGTGGTCCTCAGAATGTGCTAACTGGAATCAGGTTCATTCCTAACAATAAAGGGCTGATTCCTTACAAAGCTTTTAGTACACGTGTTATTCACTTCCTTTCAAGGCTCCCTGGGTGAGCTGGGTTCTTAGTTTAACTTCAAGTTAAAATTTTCTGATTCACTCCTTAACAGTTCTCAATGATAATTTCTGCGTTGTGTGTTTTATTTTTTATTTTATTAATGAAATAAGCAAGGGAAGGGAAATGGGTGCCCTGCCAGTCAGTCTCACTGTTTTTGCAATATCGGAGCTTCTAAGTTTATTTTCTGCGGGTGTAGGTGGGATTCTGGTACTTACCAGGGCAGCTGAGGAGACTCGAGTGAAATCACAGGGTTCAAGCTTCTTAGATATGCTAAAGCAACTGCTTTGCAGTTCTTCAGCTTTTACCTTATTTTCATTTAAGGTTACCAAAATTAAATGTTAACTTTCCAAATTAAAGTCTCTAAAATGCTTTTAGTGGAGTGAGGGGGAAAGAAGGGAGCTATTTAATAGGCTTCTGTTTGCTCATCGTAATGTCGGATAGGTTATTTTTAAGCACTCCTGGGCATTTTTAGAGCACGTTTAAATCTTTAATTAATCCACATCTTTGTGGTGGGTCAATGATATTACGGATGAGAAACACGGAACAGACTGAGCACAAGACTAGCCAATCCTTATAGAGTTTACCAAGCAGGAAGGAGCAGAGACTCACTCTCAGCCTCCTGCTAAGACCTCCAAACTTCTTCAGGGCCTTAATAGCACAGCCAGTCCTATGTCTATGCAATGCACCATGCTATTTTCGTCTTTGGAGCTCTGCTGTTTATTGTATGCTTATTTTGATCAACTTGAGATTTCATTAGAAGCTATTAGAAGCCAATGTGTTGTGTTACTGTTTGGTAGTAAAGAAGTGGTCTTTTAAAAATAAGCTTGGTTTAGTCTCTACATAATCTAGCTTCATTTATCAGTAGAATGTAGCATTCTTTAGGACATTGTTTAAGATTTAAGAGCCCTGCCCACTTGAGAAGATAGTTATTTCTCTTTTGCTTCCTCAGTAACTGATGGAGGAGGAAGGAAAACCAGTAGGTAGCTTTTTATTTGGTTGATTTTGTTTGTTTTTGGATTAGTTAGGTAACAGAATTAAAAGGTAAAGGATATAGTTTGAGATCAGATTCTTTCAAATTTTCCCATTTCCCCCCCCTAGTATATAATTATTTGAGGCCCTCTTAATATGAAAATTTGTTAAATGATCCAGTTGATTTAGGATTGGGTGTTTTTAGTCAAAGGGTATGTATTTTCTCAAAGTAATGAACTGTTCTCCTAGGCTTACTCAAAGCACACCTTTTACGAATAGTATTGTACCAAACTGCTGCTGCTAGTGACTAATTAGAAGGGGAACACCTGTCTTATTAAGATTAAAAAGCCCAGTGCTACTGACACGGGAAAGCGAAATGAAGAAATTATTAAACATTTATGCCTTAGATCAGTTGGTATCATGTTCATGATACAGTTAAAACATTGTGCCAGTATTTTAAAGAGTATTCCTTGTTATTGTTTTATTTGAAACATGCTCTCTTATTTCCCAGGTTTCGCCGCCAGCTTTCTGAACCCTGTAATTCCTTTCCTCCTTTGCCAACAATGCCAAGGGAAGGACGTCCTATGTACCAACGGCAGATGTCTGAGCCCAACATCCCCTTCCCACCTCAAGGCTTTAAGCAGGAGTACCACGACCCAGTGTATGAACACAACACCATGGTTGGTGGCGCACCCGGCCAAAGCTTCCCCCCACCTCTGATGATTAAACAGGAACCCAGAGATTTTGCATATGATTCAGGTAGGCCCACGTTTTAAGTTACATTTAAGACATATTTTCACTGGCTGGCTCCTTTGAGTAGTGTTGGCATCAGACTGGATGGCTCCTGACTACTTTTTTTGTGTGAGATCTTTCTGATTTTACCACTTCTTTGAACCTTTCTACATAAAGGATGGGGGCTGTCAAGCCATTTTGTCATGAACTGATGGTTGAAGTAGTGTCTAGATATGAAACCAGTACAAAGCAGAGTATGATTTGTAAAATTAGACACACTCTCAGCCCAAGAGAGTAAGTAGCCTTGTAATTCTTTTCTGGATTCTCGGCTTTTTTTCTATTTGCTACTAAAGGACTATCTAATTAACAGTGTTTACAGAGAGTAATGTTCTGCACTGGGTCACTTATTGCATGTAGCTATTTGTGTTTTTTTGTTTTTGTTTTTGTTTGTTTGTTTGTTTGTTTCCTTGTAGCAAGATTCCAAGGCTCCAGAATGAAAGGTTCTTACATGCTAGGAGAAGAATACAGAAATACAAATTTTTGGTTTATTCATAGAGCTTAGCTTTAGTCTTCCTGAAGCAGAAAGGCCTTACCAAGTAGTATATCAAGACGGAGAAGGGGTTTTCCTAAAAATAAGGGGCTTTTAAATATTTTGCAGATGTTACCACTAAATTTAACATTGAGACTTTAAAAGAATTAATTCAATTGTGTGAATTTTCTCCTCAAATTCAGGACATCTGTTTTTCAGACATCTCAAGAACTTCTTTAAAAATAAAATAAAATAAAATAAAGGCTAATGTTTATATGAAGGGTACCCTGAATTTTCAAGGTATTATTAACATTGAAACTGTGGTCATTAGAGGGTTGTGGACTAGAAAATATTTGGAAACAAAATAATTTCCTTTTGTCAGGATGCTAAATTATGAAAGGAACTAATGCTTCTGTAGGAATAATTGCTGAGTTTTTCTATCAGTTCTATTCAAGGAAAGAATATTGTGTCTGAGTCTTGAGTTTCCAACTTGCATAAAACCACTTGCTTTGTTATAAACTACCTTAAAAGCTTGGCAATAAGGAGCCCTATAACTGAGAATCTCCCTCTGACTTTTGGCCACCCTTCCTCATTGGGCAAGAAATTCCAAAGAAACCTAAAAAGAGGAACTGCCCACTCAGAGGCCCTGCCTTCATTTCTACCCAAGACCCATGAATTCTCTGCCCATCCAGCCCTCCCAGGCCTCGTTTTCTGAAGGCAGAGCACACTGCTCCTATGTGTACCCCTAAATCTAGGGAGATGCCAAAAGGCAGCTGCTTGTAGGAGGATGAGGATGGAGCTTGGGTTAGCCCTTGTGCTTACATGCAAGGCCCCATGGTGTTTGTTGCAAAATGTGGGCTTAAGGAATAGGAAGAGAAGCAAAAAGTAGGTTGAGTTGGGGGTCTGAAGACTGAAAGCTAGCTCCAAATCATCCTATTCTAGAGCTAATCTTAGAAATTTCCCCAGGTTTAACCTAGCTTTCCAGGTTGTAATGGTGGTATATTTTCAAGGAATGAGAGTAGAAAAATCTGCTTAATTACTTATCAGTTTATTTGGTTAAGTTATAATTTTAAAAAATTAAACATATGGTGGAAAGCCTTTTATTTGAATTCTTGCCCAGACCCCATAATTTGGAGACTAATCCTGAAATGTACAATAATGTGTTCAGTTTAGAACCTTTCTTATTTGTCTGTGCTTTATGTCCATAATTAAGAACTCTGCAATACAATTACAGATAGGATTCATTTTTCTCTGTAAATTTCAAATCCCTTTAACTGGTGTTATCTTTATTCCAAATGACATTTTAATTTGCTGCATAGTATTTGAATTCACCATGGTTTCAAGAAAATTTACATGGAAATTATATAAAATAGCTCAAATAATTGGTTCAAAAGCACTTGTAAAGCATAACATTGAAAAAGATTCTTTGTGTGTTGTAGAAATGTGTTGGTTTGTTGTTATTGTTGTTGTTATTGTATAATCCCAGCAAGGTTAACACTGAAACAATTTTCTTGATTTTTGTGGAGATTATACTAGTATATAGTATATGTAACATGGTGTTAAAAAGCAATTTAAATAATCCAAGGAGGGCAAAAATAGGAGCTGGTGCTATAAGATTTAATTGCATTACTTATGGGCCATGTATAATAAGAACCTTAGAGTTAGTCACTGTCTGACTCACAGCACAGATTTAGTCACTTATAATCTAAAAAGCATAGTCCATGCCTTAGCTCAGATTGTTATACTAAACAAAATACCATCAGTTGGGAAGCTTAAACAGCAGACATCTATTTATCACAGTTCTGCAGGCTGGGAAGTGCAAGGTCAAGGTGCCAGCAGGTTTGGTTCCTGGTGAGGGCCCTCTTCCTGTCTTGCAGCTGGCCACTTTCTCACTGTGTCCTCAATGGCTAAGAGAGACAGTGAGGGAGCTCTGGTCCCTCTTCTTGTAAGAACACCAGTCCCACTCTGGGCACCAACCCTGAAGAGCCACTGTAACTAATCACCTTCCAATGGCCACACCTCAAAATACTATCCATGGGGCAATACATCTTCAACAGTGGGTTTTGGAGCACATAATGATTCAGTCCATAACAGTATCCAATTTTAAAGACACCTAGGGTATCTCTTGTAAGTAGACCATATACCTTGTAAATGACAGGTACAATATTTGCTTAATATTCGAGAAGCAGTTAATTTATGTTACTTTCTCCCCTCGAAATTACATTTCAAATCGCTAAACCACAGCATCTTTGCATTCTAATTTTAACATTGCCAATAGGATATAGTTGCTAGCTTGAAGCATTGACTAGCAAGGTTTTATCTTCTGGATATGCTCTAAAAAGAACTGTAGCAGCGGTGTAACCGGAGCCTATGAAAAATTTGTGGGTATCAAAAGTATTCTACTGGCTATGAAATTGCTGCAAGTTGACACATCTGTATATATATCATACATATGATCTCCAGGTATTTGTTTTGTTGTCAGTAGTTCTTTCATCCTTGCAGAGAACACATTCAGTGACCTTTATAGAAAATCTAACGTATTTATCACTGAACCACTGATTTCCTGGTTCACTTATTGATGGTGAACACGTACACATTAGGAAATATTTTATGTGATTTATAAACAATGTAAAAAATGTTTCATAGTCAATTTACTCAGGATCTGTAGTCAAAGGATATCTTTTCAGAAGGCCTCTAGAACTCTTTATTGCTTAATTCAATTTTACATCAATGTTGTGAATATAAAGTAAGCTTTCCAAGTGGAAAGGCTGCATGATTATACTTCTAATAAAGCCTGACATTAATTATGACATGGGAAATGGAAGGTCTATTAGTTATAATTGTAATTACAGGAATGCAATTTCAACTGCAGAGGATTTAAGCTAAAAAAATGCACAATAGTAGAGTAGAAATTTTTATTCAGGAGAAAATAGAAAAGCTTGGAGCAGAAGACACTAAGGGGATAAGCAATTGATAGGGCCAATTTCGTGAACCAGTACAATGGGGTCATGATTATATTGTATTAAAATCTAAATAGTCTGATTACATCTATTACTGTTTTCCTTCTCTTAATCTCTATTTTGAATGGTGCTGCCTAAAGCAATATACAAGCTTATGGTCAGTTGGTTGTTTTTTTCTGAATTGTACATGATTTTCTCTCTCTTCCTCTATGACCAATAGTGGAATATATATTGAGAGCCTCCTTTTGCGTGCCTTACACAGTACCCACTTTCATAGAATCAGTTATTTTCCCATTTTCATGCTTATCTATGAGACTTTGCTGGTTTGAATACCCACTGAGACAGATATTTTAGATATTCCATCACAACATTTTGTTAGAGTTGTTTTAGTTGATTTTTTTTGTTTCATTTTTTATTCTTTTGTTAGCTTAGGGTAGTACTTTTAAGGGGTGATAGGCAGATGAAGCTAAATTTTCATGACTGGGAGGCCTCTTCCTCTTCCTAACTAATTAGAATTATAACCTAAGAACTGGGGTTGAAGACTGGGAAGAAGAACTCTCAGGGACATGCAGAAGGTTGCTGAAATGAGAAAATACAGGAAAGTACTTGGCTTGAGTTCAGGGGAGGAGGATGAAGTAGAGGGTGGGTAAAAAGCTGACATGTCTCCAGAAGAAAATGCTTTTCGTATTTTTTTTTTTTAAGTGTGCTTTCTAAGCCACTCCTGCTGGTACTGATGAAGTCTTCTTTCAATTTGAAGGCATGTAACATTTCTGTGATGGCAAATGTTGTCAGCACTATTTTAAACTGGGAAATAGGCACAAGTAGTCGTTTCATAGAATTATAAATATTTACACACATGAGCTTTTGGCGATCACCTCATTCATATTCCTTCTCCATGTCCCAGTTGTCCAAGGCTCATCCGAGGTCACTGTCATCGGTTACTCAGATGATTTCTGAAACAGCCAAAATGAGAACCAAGGCTTTCTTATTCTTAGTTTAGTGCAAGTATATCTTTCTATGTAATTGTCGAAAATAAACACTTTAATCCATAATTAGCTACATATATCATTCTTTTTTTCTTATTTTTGGACTAAATATGTTTCTATGAGGTTTAAAAGCTCTGTATTATCCTGGGAAATAGAAGTGTTTGTGTTATGATCAGAGGTATGTTTTTTTCTAATCTGGGGGTGTATATTTCACATTAGCAGTCCAAATTTATCCTGTTAGGTGTTCCCTGATGTGAGATAAGAAAATATAAGACTTCAAATGATATTTAGGCTAAGAATACATTCTATTTCTTCCTTTTTTTCCTTTCTTCCTTCCTTCCTTCCTTCCTTCCTTCCTTTCTTTCTTCTTTTTTTTTTTTTTTTTTTAACTCTGCACAAGAGTTGAGATTGTTAAGGAAATGACTTTTCCTAGTAGTTCTTCTGGAAAAGTCTGAATTAATTATTAGAAGGAAAGTGGCAAATTGATGGCATGCAGATCTAAAATTCTGTGATGAAATGAACTTTGAGTTTGTCTGAGCCTTCTATTGGACT